GAGCTAGAAAAGAAGAGTTTTTGTTTTTGTGTTTTTTTTAATTAAACAAATTGGCTAGAATTTATTGACTTTCTTTGCTTGAAAAAAAAGTTATTTTTTCCTACCTAGAGATTTGGGAGTAGAAAGACGAGTAAATTTTGCTAGCTCAATTGATTATAATTTGGTGCTGATAAAGTACTATAAAATAGAGAGAAAAAGAGAAGAAAGTAAAAAAAGTTAATGAACTTGTGTATTTAATTGAGAATCAAAGTCCTATATTTATAGGAAAGAATTAAAGTTGCAAAGGATATAAGTCATATTAATTAGGGTGCGGGGATATAATGATTATTCACTAATAAATGTATAATCTAGGAAAAATTGTAGCAGCAGCCCCTAACCTTTTCATTTTTTTACAGATTTTACCCTGGCTTTCATTGTGTGTCAATGAAAGTCCCTAACCTTTCATAAATATGCATGTGAGGTCCATTTAGACGGAAACTGTCCAAAACATCATCAGTTGATCGGGAAAATTTTTTGAACTATCTGCTACGGCGAAAATTTTATTAAATATTGATACCTTTTTGGACTGTGTTTTTTGACGGTGTTTTGGACGATTTTATTGGATATTGATTTCTTAATTTTTTCGATCAATTAACGGTATTTTTGACGATTTCTGTTCAGATGAATCTCATGTGCATATTTATGAAAGGTTGGGAACCTTCACTAACACAAAATGATGGTTAAGGCAAAGTCTGAAAAAATGAAAAGGTTAGGGACTGCTGTTACAATTTTTCCTATAATTTACAACAGGATAATTATATCTACACCATAATTTTTATTTCTTTCACCGTATTTTAATGGAAAAATTGTAGTCACGGTACCAAATCTTTCGTTTATTAGCAGAGTTTGCCCAATCATTTCATTTGTGCCACGTGAGTACCAAACCTTCAAAACTTTGCAGCTCAAATCCAAAATGATGATTTTCCGTTAGTTTGACTATCAAAACTGTCAATTGACTCCAAAAGTAAAAAAAAACTTTAATTGTACTTAATGTTCTTAATTTTTGCTCATTATTGCATTTATGTCTTTGACGATTTTTCATATCATTCTTATTCTCAAACTTTTCATTAGTTAACAAATTTTATAGTTGATGACAATTTTATATTCAAATTTCGTTGAAATAGCGTAAAATAACTTACTTTCTCATCGTATTTTAAAAAAAAATCAAAATAAGAAGTGCTAAAAAATATTATTCCCTTGTTTCAAAGCATGAAACTAAACTTTGATATAAATTATCATGGCGATGAGATGTACAAATTAATAAAAGGTTAAAGATAAGAATTACACGAAAAAAGTTAAGGAAATAATTGTTACAATGACTTTCGCCATATATTACTGTGAATTGTCCGTACAGTTTCTGTGAAATTTTGTTGTGTACACACATCTCCCTTAATATAATACTAAAGGCCCCGTTGATGGATATGATAATTTACTTAAAATAATATAAGTCATCAACAAACTCCTCACTCAACTTTTCTACATTTTCAATTCGTAAATTACACTAAGCGTTCGTTTGATTGCAAGATGGAATTTGGGTGAAAAGAAAATGAATTTCAGGGAATCGAATTGCCTGAAAATTATTTTCCTGAAAATTGTTAATTTATTGTATTTGATTGGTATAATTTTTCAAGTGAAAAATATTGAAATAGAAGTGTTTTTTTATTGTTCATTTGGTTTTCTTTTACATGAAAATTATGAATTAAAGGAATAAAATTTACTGGTATTTGTGATATAATTTGTTTCCATTGTAAAAAAAAAAAAAAAAAAAAAAAAACAAAAAAAACAAAAAAAAAAAAAAAAAAAAAAAAAAAAAAAAAAAAAAAAAAAAAAAAAAAAAAAAAAAAAAAAAAAAAAAAAAAATTGTTAATTAAAGGAATATAATTTATTACAATAATTCTTAGATTTTTTTTAAATTCCCAAAAAAAAAAAAAAGACGTGAAATGGTGCAATTTCAATTCCCACCATTTTGGTGGGAATTTCAATTGGCAAGCCAAGATGGAAAAATCAATTCCATTCTAAATTTTGCCAATCAAACAACAAAAAATTGGAAAGATGGAATTTCAATTCCATTTTTCCTTGGAATTCCATACTGCCTAAATCTTCTCCAAATTTGAGGTATTCGAAATATGGGGCAGATTTTTCTTTATTTATTAGATATTGCTTGTTTTATTAGATTGAATTTAATAATCATTCTGGTAAGAAATAAAGGACTAGGAACTTTGAGATTATAGTTATTTAATATAGCAATCCAAAATATGAACTAAGGATTTGAAATTTGAAACTGCCCAATTTAGGAATTTGATTAATGACACTATTTAGTCACACCCTATTTTCTTTGAGAGCTCAATAGGGGTGAACACGTTTTAGTTTGGGCGGTTTGTGTTATACTTTAAACTCAAAACATTTCACGATGTTTGAAATTTTTTTAAACCAAACCAAATCATTTTATTTTTCGAACCAAACCAAGTCAAATCGTAATTTGCAGTTTGGTTCGGTTTTAATCCGCAGTTTATCTTGTAGAATAATTTATTGTTTTAAATCACCGGATCTTTCATGTTAAATCATCAATAAATACATAAATTATGGTGGAAGCGTACTTGAATTAAACATGGTTAATACAATAATGAATTTCACGCTATAGTCTTCCAAATCTACACGCGGCCCCCTTTTTTCTCTCTGTGATGGGATGTAGAAGAGAATGAATAATACGTACGTGTGATTTGGGGACCATAACCGTATTTATATAACGACACCCTTTGATCAAATTCGACCCATCACACTTGGGCCCGATCTCTACACATATGTAAACCTACACTTTAATTAGATACATTAAAATCCAAAACCTAAGTCTTATTAGATCACTTTAATTGGGCTTAACCGAATTTGATAGCATTTAATTTAACATACAATTATTCACACATATAGGCCCATCGATGGATTAAAAAAATCCTTACAATCTCCCACTTGGGCTATATGTGTCACCTTATAATTGTGCATTAAATATAACCTTATGAGTACTCAAAATTTTGCTATCATTACTGAATGCAACCTAAAACAATCCCATCCATCAATCATATCAACATAGGATTAAAGTGGCTTTCGCTACTTTCATGTAGCTAAACCCATTAATGGTCACGTATATCGATAGAATCGAATGACATAGATCAAGCATGGATGTGTAGCATGAAAATTACATGTGATGTGATCGATAACATACCTATTTCCAACTGGTCCACCTTAATACCTTAGTGAGATTATTTTAAACAAGTTCAAAGATAATAAAACAAATAACTTTATAATCAAAAATAACTTTAACATTAAACCGATCCAAACTAACAATACATGTGTCCAATATGAAAAGCAAAAATACAAATTCCCACTGAAACTAGATATCTTCAAGAGATACTATACCCATATGAGCAGTGTGTTCATGAAAGACCTTGTATCAATCCCTTAGTAAGCGGATTCGCAACCATGGAGTTTGTCCCAATATGCTTTATTGACACCCGTCCACTCTGAACTCTTTCTTTAACAGTTAGGAACTTGATCTCTATATGTTTTAACTTTGTCAAGCTTCTGTTGTTATTGGAATATAGCACTGCTGATTTATTGTCACAAAATATCTTGAGCGGTCTTTCTATATTGTCCACAATGCGCAGTCCAGTGACAAAATTACGTAGTCATATTCCATGATTTGATGTCTCATAACACGTTATAAACTCTCTTGCCATGGTGAAAGTAGCTATGAGTGTCTGCTTAGCACTCTTCCAGGAAATAGCACCTCCAGCAAGCAGGTAAATATAGCTTGAAGTGGATCTCCTATTATTTTGGCATCTCGTGAAATCGGAATCAGAATAACCGACGATCTCCAACTGAACTAATAGTGTTAAATGTTAAATTACATTCATATTTACCATCAAACCCAAAAACAAACTATTTTCAAAATTGGTTACTAAAAGATGTTAATAGAATAAATACATCTTTCTTCATTTTTATTTAAATTTTCTTGTTTGGCTTTCAAATTGTCAATAACAGCCATTTTGCTTTTATAGTTTGGTTAAAACTCTCTTCATCTTGTTAGTGAGACGTTATATAAGGATTGAACAAGATATATTTAGATATACAAAAATTGATAGAATTTAGGCTTATTGAAAATTGACGAATTTCATTATCTAACTACTTTATGAAAGTTTAATGCGTTAGTCTACAATCCATACGTTCCGTCCTTCGTTCTTTCCAAATCACAAACAAGTTTATTAATCATCTGGCACACAAACAGTTATTTTTATATCCAAACCATAATTCACAACTGTATAATAAGTTCAAAAACAACAAAGAAAAGAGCAATGAAAAAATAGATTGAATGAGAATTTAAGACTTAACGCGAGAAAAGAGAGAAAGAAGCGATTCAGGTAGAAATTATGAGACTAACAGGCAAAAGGTGACTGGTGATTCGTTCAACAGGAACAGAGAAATATCAAATATTTGGGAAACGAGAGTTTATGTTAGGGCTTCTAAAGCTTTGGACATGGTTTGCTATCATAGTTTTGTTGAATTATGATTTGGATTGTTGAAAATATTTTATTCTTTTTATTTTTTGCATTTCATATGATTTGGGAATAATTTTAGTTTAGTTTAGATACCAAGTGAGGACATGTATTGTGAACTTGGTAGACTATGAGTCAGTAATGATGAACCTAAGTTACTTTCTATGATTATTTCAGTGGGCTGTCTGTAATTTGTATGGCTAAATTAGTATTTTTTTTAAAAGTGAAAACTGTAAAATATATAAGTTAATAAAATTAATGTTTTAATTAAAAAAAATAAAAATGGTTCAGTTCGATTTTGTGCGATTTTTGAAAATCAAAACCTAACCAAAACCATTTTGAAACGGTTTGGTTCGGTTTAAGGGAAAAATAACCACGGGTCCACGAAAACCTGAACCAACGGCTTCAAATCAATTGTTTTGATTCGATTTGTAGTTTCACAATTTTTTTGTGCATACCTAGAGCTCGATATGCCAATCGGTGTAGAATCTCCCTCGTATCCCTTCTTTATGGAGGTATAATAGGCCCCTCGTGCCACTTGAATCCGTGAACATTTTAGGGTATCCTCAATTTAATTTTTAATGCATTTTGAAAATTCACTAAAGTTTATAAAATTTCATCACTTATTTCTACAATTTAATGTGTCAAGTTTTGATGAGAAAATGAATTCAACTTATACATAAAATGATGGATTAATATCGAGTCTAATATGTTAATAGGAATGATCTAATTAATATCGATGCTCATCTTATGTTCAACATCGATAATGTGTTATATTAATTCAATGATGGATGAAGTTTTGATTGATATATGACAGTCACTGATTCTTAATATAAGATGAACATTAGTGTTCATTATAACATTTCTAAATATGTGAATGAATATAGATAAAAAAATCCACCAGGCTAAATCAGATCCATTAGCAAATGAAGATGACAATTGATATATGGACAGAATTCCATCACAAAATCTTGTCCATTGCTAAATTCAATTCAAATTGGTATCCAATCAATTCGAACAAAACTCTCAAACAAGACTTTTGATAACTAAATATAATAAATAGAGTCTACTCTTCAAAAAGGATGAAAGTACATACAATATACTGTTAAAATCTCCCATTCAATTACATTTAAAAAAATAAAAATAAAAAATCATTGCTTCTATAATGACTTAGGTATTAATGGCGCAGGAGAAAAAAAACCAAACGCCCTTTTTTGCTATAGGTATTGCTAGATGAGTAAGGGAGACAAATCGAGGAAGCAATTTTTTACAGAGTCTCAAAGCAAAAGTTCGTGGCAAAACACGAAGATGGTGAGTTGTTAGAAATAACAAGCAGTTTTTTCCTTCTTCTTCTTCTTTTTTTCTTCTGAGACCACCCCAAGGGTGAAATATTTATTCATTCTTAAAAAAATAAAAATAAAAATTTAGGAGGGGACGTAAGATCTTACCTCCGATCAACTTGCAGCTTAATAATACCCTGACTGGTAGGAACCATTCAAGTAAATTGTTCATAAATATGTTCTTCTGAAAGAAAAAACGAAGAAAAAAATTAAAACAGATAAGTATATATCAGAATGTACACTTAATAGTACTTCTGGGGCTCGAACTTAAACGAGAATATATATTACATTGTTACTGTCATCTATAAGCAGTTATTTCCTAATAGTTTTGGACAAAAAATGTCGAGTTTGGTTGTATATGTCAAATCATATCGCGAAACCTCAGTCGCCTACGAAGAAAAACATGCAAAATTAATCGCGTAAATTGTCAATCTTCATCAGTTGAAATACACAATCATTTGAAGAACGAAAGTCCTTTATCTTAATTTTAAGTAAAACCTCCCCTTGGAAGAATTCATGGTGAAGGCGGTGATATGTTATTGAATGGTGAAATTTGAACACATTATGAACTAATGGAATTAAAAGCTATTAAGTAGATCATATAACACTAAAAAGAGAAACGTTGATTGATTACTGTATAATGCCAATAATCAGTTCAAATACAGCTAAAAAGCTTAAACATAGTATCAAATGGACAAATTAAATACGTGTTGGAAAAAATAGAAGTGCATAAATTATATTCAAATAACATACTTTTTATGTGCATAAAATCGGACATAATTTTGACTTAGCAAAATCAAATACGTAAAGTATAAACGAGAAATACATGAATATGAATTTAGTTGAGGCAAGAGTTGGACTCTTTCTCCTTAAGACAATAATGCCACGCACGGGTGCTAACGATTTTTCGGCATTCATCTCCCAAAATATAATGATCACGTCTTGTAACAGAAGCACTCCAAATTTAGTAGACCAGCGAACTTGCTTATGTTTTGAAACTCGACTCCAAATAAATGCAGAATTTTTAAATGAATGTGCATTAGAATAATGCAATTATGAAGTGTATGAATGAATAAAAACATAGGGTCTTATATATAGATGTTGAAAATGTTTGTCTCAGAAGACACTATTGGAATTAATCTCTATATTTGAAGAGACACATCTCTTGAAAAATGATAATGGCAAAAGACACAATCTTTTATATAGAAAGACACCTTTTCAGCCAACACAATTTTTAGAATATTCTATGTGATTTTTCAATAATTCACGTATTTAAGTGACTTAAATTTGGCTTAATTTTTCATTCACCAAATAATAACTTCCACTTAAATAATTAAAAATTGATCAAAACCAATTTCATATGCAAATTTCCAACAATTCCTCATATGAATGAAAATTAATGCAAATGACTATGGAGACGCTAAAGAGAGTTCAAGCGAAAAGCTATTGCATCTGGATAGGTACCTTATGGGTTTGAACCTTCCGTAGTGAAATACCATTGGATTTACTTGGCTAATCAGCGATGTCTTGAATTGTCAGCCGTTGATGTAAACCAAGACAACAGTACTCACACAATAGCCTCTCTAACACTTTCGAGTTCTCACTGTTATGTTTATTTTGACCCTGAACAACTCTTGAATTTCATAAGTGCTTTAAAGAATTCGAGCCTTGAAATATTCTCATAAAAGTGACCCCACTTCACACTTATATAAGTGATATCCTATTAAGAGTTCCTGCCATACCCTACTTGGTTTGTCCAAGATATAGAAATCTTTAAAAGTATAACTTAATCTAAAACTTTCTACAGATAGCACTTTACTTATCATAGGAATGGCTAGAAATTAAATCTCAAGTGCTCGTTGAATCTTCATAAATCAGTTGTTCCACTGAATCAAGATTTTGGGATCTCCAGCCGACAAGGTTGGGTTACCATTACAAAAATCCTTCCATAGTAGGCTTTTAAGCACATTCCACTCGATATACAGTATCCTTGATCTCTCGGTAAATCTTTTCTTAGTGGATCCATGAATTTACACTATATGAGATTAACTACTTAATGATATTATGTCTACAACTGACACGTCTAGACTTACAATTACGTTTGACTTAATTAGTATCGTATCAAATATAGCTAGCCAACGACTAATTCATTTAATAGATATAAATTGTCACGAACCAAGAAATCCTCTTATGAAGCCAATATTCTTCTTACTAGCTTTTATCTAAAGCTTTATCAATTCCAAACAACAACGTTGGAGGATTCCCATCAAATCATTGCACTAGTCAATCACTTTTACTAGTGGATTTCATACATAAGTATTCAATACCATCATTGAAATATTATAATGCATTTAAACTTTATGAATATTCTTCAAATATTCTGATTGTTCTTGCATATCCAAACGCCATAATCGGCTTTCGTTCCATCTTATCCACTTTAGACTTAGTGCATATCATCCTTATAATTACTATAAAGGTTTTCTACATTTTCACCTTCATAGATATCTTTCTATGATTATAAGGTATAGGGAAATATAACTTTTAACATAAGTTACTCCCACAATTCCTCAATTAAGAATTAATGTACAACTAGTAATTTCGTATCCACACGTCATGAATTTTTCATATCAGTTTGCATGTATTAATGTTAACCCCCTCAATTTTTGGGTTATGCTTGAACTGTGAATGTATCAGCTTTCTTATAATTCAATTCATCTATAAAATAGATAATGTTTGTATCGAATGCTTCGTGAAAGTCTACTCACTTTCAATTTAGGGTTGCCAATTCAGATATAATACTAATGAAATATACTTGTACTTCAATTTGATCATACAAAGTTGATCAATGTAAACACATAGATCCAAAGACAATTTAGGATTCGTAAACCAACAATGCTTTCAAAGCATATACCAATTTAATTGGTTCCAAGATTGAAGTTAATATGTTGCATCTATACACATATATAAGTATAGTACCAAATTGAAGAAGGCTAAGCATCTTCATTCACAAGAATTGCAACTTCTCAGAACGTATGCAACTAATCAAACTTCTGACACTTCACGAGATAGTGCCATTTGTTTCCAATATGTGTCATTTCATATTAAACAAGAAGGCACCAATTCAACCTATTCATCTTGTTGTTTTGAAATGACTAAGTGTCATAGTGCATAAACACTCTCCTATCGTGCAATTTTAATAACATGATAATATAATATTATCTTCACTTTGCACAAACCATCTCGCTTAATTTCATTAATTTAATTGTGGCTATTATTATTAACCTTAATGACAAATATATTAACCAATGGTATCCATGATCCCTAAAACACAAGCACTTGTTTCTATGTGAAAGTACATATGCAGCATGTTTTCAATTAACTAAACCATAAAAGTCATACCATTTCAAATAAAATCAAATCGACAGAACTCTCAATGAGAGTAGTCAATGACATCCGTTCATTTAACCATATTCATGATACTACACATATTTTCATAAATTAGAACTGCCTATAAAGAATATTCAAACAAATAAAATGTGAATATGCAATCAGCATATCATTGAAGATTTAGAAGAAATTTTCTACCTTAACTAATAAATATAGAAACAGTATCCATGTATAAAATTTCAAAACACAAATAATTTATTGGACGTCCAAAACCTAAACTATTCTACAAAATTAATACAAAATGCATAAGTTCAAACTTGACATAAAACTGATTTATGACGCATTTATAATCATGTAGTTTCAGATTGTCTTAGTGGAAGACAATATGACGTTCCAATAAAACTATGCAGTATATAAATGCAAAATTCTATTTCAAGGTGAACAGAATTAAATACCAAGAATTTAATAATTTTGTACCAATTCAAACGTGAATCTAATAAAATACCAGCAGTGGATTTAGTGAAACGACTTAATTAATTCCATGTATCATCCAAAATGTACAAATTCCAATGCATGGTTACTACATGCAGGTAAACGAATATAAATTAGCACGATAAAAGATTATCGTCTTAAGATTGTTGGAAAAAATAGACATGCTTAAATTATATTCAAATAACATACTTTTTATGTGCATAAAATCGGACAGAATTTTGACTTAGCAAAATCAAATATGTAAAGTATAAACGAGAAATACATGAATATGAATTTGGTCGAGGCAATAGTTGGACTCTTTCTCCTTAAGACAATAATGTCCTGCACGGGTGCTAACGATTTTTCGACATTCGTCTCTCAAAATACAACGACCATGTCTCGTAATAGGAGCACTCCAAATTACATAGACCAACAAACCTACTTATATTTTGAACCCTCTTTATATGAAACTCGACTCCAAATAAATGCAGAATTTTAAATGAATGTGCATTAGAATAATGCAATTATGAAGTGCATGAATGAATAAACACGTAAAGTCTATATATAAACGTTAAAAAGGTTTGTCTCAAAAGACACAATCTATGAAAAAGACACATATATTGAAATTAGTCTCTAAATTTGAAGACACGTCTCTTGAAAAATGATAATACCAAAAGTCACAATCTTTCATATACAAAGACACCTTTTCAGCCAACACAATTTCTAGAATATTCTAAGTGATTTTTCAATAATTCATGTAATTAAGTGACTTAAATTGGCTTAATTTTCCATATACCAAATAATAACTTCCACCTAAATAATTAAAAATTGGTCAAAACCAATTTCATATGCAAATTTCCAACAATACGTGTTCAGTCCAGTCACCACCCGTTTAATTAAACATGTATACATTTCATGCTTTCAATAAAGAATCTGATATTAATGAAGTGACACTCTATGATTAGGCTAATGGCTGAGTTTATATGATTATGGCTGACTAGTCCAATTTTGCAGGCATGCAAGGAGTTTAGCTTTTGATGAAATAGAGCAAAAATCTTTAGGCCTAATGGGAAAAAAATGAAAATTACTCATCATTTCTACTGTGAAATAGTGAGCTCTGAACTAGTAAATCTCCCCTATCTTACAGCCTCTTAATTGTAGATGCTTTAAACTGCTCTCTTATAGTATCTTAATTAAGACAACTGAATCGAGGAACAAACTATCAGTACTATAATAGAACAAGGCTGGAGACAAGAAGGGAATCGATGTGCCATGATCATGTTGGAAAAAGGAGTGACCTGATTCGATCTGCAAGCTATGAGGATGGTTCGGATGGAGTAATTTAATTCCAAAGTTCACTATAGCTAAGATGATCTTGATCTTCCATAACTTTTCTAACATAAGTTTACAAAATGAGTGTTTTGATGGCTGAAATGGAAACAAGAAACAAAGTTTAGCTTTGATGACACCACTAGATTTTATGCTGTTTCTATGTTTCTGATCATGACCCCACTATAGATTACATAAGATTTATCTTTGATTTCTTCCATTAAAAGCACTTTATTTTATACTTATAAATTATCTTGAGGAAATGAATCTAAATAGGATAAAGTACCTTAAATTTAGGATAAGATTCAGGCAAGATAAATTATTTTACCAATCAACAAGGTGCAATAAAGAAATGGTCAGTCTGAAATTCCAAACCCCAGAAAATCTTCAAGACAATGAAGAACTCAATGTATAAAATGGAAAATAATCTATGGATTATCTGACCTTTTTTAACCTAAATATTGTCCCCTGCCAGTTGAATTTCCATTCCATGCACCATTTATTGGCAGGTGGCCATTAGGCATATTCATTGGTAAATTCAAGAAAGGAAGCCCTGAAGATGGATCAGAAAATTGGTTGCCAAAACCTGCTCCACCGCCAGTGGACGGCGGAGGTGGCTGCATCTGGACCACCTCGTTTTCCTCCAAGGGCAATCTCTCATACGCCACGTTATTGAACGAGGCCGCAATGATAATAACCGGTCCTGAAGCAATCAAAGCACCCACAACACTCCCTCCAACAACCTGGCCTTGTCCACCTGACAAATATATTGTCAAACTGGTGGCTCCAGGCGGCGCTGGTGGCGGCAAGAAAGAGCCAGACAAGGATAATATCTCGAATTTTCCCTGCAGAACCACCACTGAACCGACCGCGGTAGGCTGCCTTAAGCTTACGTTATTGACTGTGCCTGTTCCGCTCAATATACAAATCCCTTTCTGCTTCTTCCTTGAGTAGGTTGCCACGGCCTCGAACACATCACAGCCATTGCCAACCTCCAGTATATGTGCACGAAGCGTGTTTGCGCTTTCTTGGGTTATAATCACAGGCGGTTTTAGCTTATTCTTAGAACCTGGAGGCCGGCCTCTTTGTCTACGCCCCACCACATCACCTCCTGAACTTGTATTCGATGTATCAAGCTCAAAGCCCTGATGATGGATAGTATCATTATCATTTTCGCCGGAAAATGGGTTTTGATTGTTGTCATCCTCGACGGTGTCCTGTGGCCTTTGGAGGTGTAGATCAGCCCTGTGAAGCTGAGAAACGAAGTGAGAAGAACCTAAGTTCAGACCAGCCATAGAGTACAACAAAGATAACAAGAAACAAAGAAAAATAAAGTATGATAATTGATCAAACTAAAAATTCGCTGAATTTTCAAGAGTAAGTAAATTAAACCCAGAATTTCAAACCCTAGAACGAATAGAATTAAAACAAAGACAATCAAGTGGGGGAGAAATGAAGGGATGAGAGAGAAAAAGGGAGAGAGTAGCAGACGCAGCCAAATTAAAGCAAACATATATAAATATATATAATATACAATGAGCATATACGAATATGATAGTAAACTTTATTGATTAAAATATGACTATAAAATATTTCGATAACACGGTAAGTATTATGAAGCAGGAATAAGCTAAGCAGTTTTATAAAAATAATTTTAACTTTTTTTTTTTCTTTTTTAATACAAACGTAGAAAAATAAGACTGTATAGTGAGGAAAAGCAGCAGGGCGTAGGAGATGCCATGATAAGGATGCATATGATGTAGCGTGTGATTATGATTTCTCTTCTCCCCAACCACAATATTATTTAAATGCATATATTTCGACTCAACAACTAAAGCCAAAAGTCACCACCCCACCCCACCCCACCCCACCCCACAATACAAAGAAGAACAAGAATCACAACTAAAGGATGCACGTGTTTTTACATGTCCGTTATCAATGGCTTTTCTTTGTCCTTATTGCTTCGTTTTGATGTGAAAACTGTAGTATATATGTGTATTGACAAGTGAATTTTTATTGTTATCATAGTTAATGAATGTGAGATTTTACGGTTAACATGCTTCACAAAGATGCTCGTTGCAATAATATCAATCTTAAAAATTCGTTGATCCATTTCAAATTTAAACAGATAGAGATGTTAGTTTGAAATTTTTGAGCTGCCCTAATATCACATTATATTGAGTTCAATTTTTTTAAAGGAGTGCTCACTCTTATCTCGTAAAGCTTTTTTCAAATTTTAAGCTAGTCAAATTTAATTTTTATTATACATTTCATTGGATTCCAGGGACAGATCCAGGATTGGATCCACGATCGGGTTACAAAATTTCAAACCAGGCTACTACGTGGAAAAAAAAATTTTACACAAAAAAAACTGATTTTTTACCCAAAAAAAAATAAAAAATACCTTAAAAAAAACTCTTCGACCTGGGGGAGAGGGGGCTACAGCCCAGCCCAGCCCAGCCCCCCTATATCCGTCTCTGTTGGATTCGCAACTAATATCCATTTTTTAGCTACACATTTTATGGAATACACCACCTTATAATATAAAAAAAGCTCTCTCAATATATATATATATATATATATATATTGAGAGAGAGAGAGAGAGGAATTGAAACAGTAAATTGAGACAATAATTTCCTTGAATAATCAGAGATTGAACAGTAATCATGAAATTAAGGAACTTTTATTGAAAATAGGTTGAACTTCAACTTAAAATACTTTTGAAAATTGAAAATTGAAATATATGTGATTGGTCATGTATTGATTAGTTAATTACGTGGTAGTTCCCTACCATAAAATATTTTATTTTTGGTAAAACGAACAAGCTAGTCAAAATTTGAGTGCTTTGACATCCATCACAAGAGCATAATAATAATTTAGAATGAGAATTTGCAAAGACCATTTAAACAATTGCACAAGTAAATATTTGAGTTTGCTAAAAAGTACAATGTTTCAATCCATATATATTAATTAAGTAGAAATAAAATTGGAGATGTTCAATCATTCGGTTGCAAGTAATTAATTAATGATCAAAGCATAAAGTAATAGTTTTAAATTCCACTAATTATTTATTTAAAGGTGATTTTGTGGGATTAAACCTATAATTATATACATAAAAAGATATATTTATTCATTTGTTTTATCACACTGCTTGATAACTATGGGAATTTATTGTGAGTATGAATGTGTTGCATAACCTCTTATATTTGTTTTTAAACTGACATTATTTATATAGTATGAAGTGAACTAAGGAAATAACTGTCTGTAATAACTAACTATAGGTCATTTTTCCATTCTTGAGGTAGATTGCATGTCATGCTTCTTATCAGATAGTACAAAAACATTCTGCTATTAAACATTCAACAGGTTATATCCTACGATATGTTCCAGAAAATGTTGCATGATTTTTTAAATATATAAGGCGCACGTTTGTTTGTTTGTTTTTTTTTTTTGTTTTTTTTTTTAGATATTAAACGTTAAAGTTGACGGAATCAAAGAATAGAAGTAGGCGATAGTTTGTACTTCTGAATCCAATCGCGTTTAGTCTAATTTATCGAACATGCTAATAACACTCATATATAATTCACCTTTTCTAATTTATACAATCTATTTGTTTTCCATACTTAGGTTGTTTTAGTGACGGGTTTATGTTCATATTATTAAGGTTGTCATTTTAACTAGACCAAATCGGGGCTAAATCCTGAATGTAAATGACATCAATCCTACCCACCTCGAGGGTTCATTTACAAAGTTGCAGTTCGAGAGTTAATTAGAGCAAGTCAGCTAGATATAGTTCTATCTTTTATTCAATTTAACTATATCACATAGCATTAGATTGGTGTTGTGACCAGCAGGCAGTAGTGCTAAATATTAAGCCCTTGTACATCTTCCTTTAAATAAAACTATTTAATTCGTATACTCATTTCCAATAACACATTTACACAATATAATATTTTGCAGATAAATTTAAAATTTTTCTTTACTTTTTAACTGTACATTCTTCAAAAAAATCATTTGTCAAAATATCGTTTTTTTCTCAATAGTGGCATCTAAATAACATTATTCCTCCCCCCTCGCGTCCCCATCCCCACCTCGATCCTCCCCACGCACCAACCCTCCACCATTTCAGGGCACAGCATCCTATGTTACACAACACGAGCGGCACCTTTGCGTAAAAGTCATGAAATTACAGACAACTGAATGGCCACAACTACCTTTCATCAACACAAAGAGAGACAGACAGAAAACAAAAATTTAGCAAAAAGGGTCAGCAGACAGACGCTGCACTTTCACTTAAGAATTGGATATCACATTTTAGGTTTGTCTAATCTAATTCACTTTTAAGAAGATTTAGCAGTCCCTTCATGGGATTCTATTAACCTTGTCAATATCCGATTTCACTATCATATCATCATCCTCTCTATTCTTTTCAATTTTCACCCCCCCCCCCCCCCCCCCCCCCTTTTGGAGGATTGTTAGTTATTATAAATTTATCAGTTTTTTTATTTGTACAGAAAATCTATATAGCTAGAATGATAGATGAAATCTATGCAGGTAGAATGACAAATGATTTGTACAGAGTTCTAAATTTATATAAAGTTGTTGCAGAAGCTCTCTCAAAAGGATCTTCAAACGGTGGTTTTTCAGGCTCAGTCCATCGCACATTTCTCAACCAACAATCAGTCCAATCGGCTCCAAACCCTAACCAATTGATTCACCTTGGTTGCTATGCAATCTTACCCACGTAAGACAAGAAATGATGATGATTTATGGCCACAAAGGTTAGGAGAAGACACCACAAAGGTATACTATGAAAGAACCATCAATTGTACACGTTATACAAGCGTTCTGGACACTTCTGGACACCTTTTTCTCATACAAAAAGGGGGCAACCGGGATCCACTATTTCTTCTCTCAAAATCACACAATCATCATATGAAAGTGGCTAGGGTTATAACCAAATATATACTTTAGGGTTAGGCTTTAAGTTTGGTCATTAAAGGGGTAAACGGGCCAAGATTCAAACAATCCATAAGGAATACAATTGGGCCGGGTGTAGCTCATGGATTTGGTTGTTAGACTTATTTCATTCATCGGCCTATGCCTACGAAATAATATTAACCCACGTTAACATCATAGTTCGAAATTTATTGGGTATCAAAAACCCAACAAATCTCCACCTTGATACCCAATAAATTTGCAAGCAATCAAAACACACAGTTAACCCTTGCATAATCAAGGTAGCCAATAAAATTGGATCACAGACCTTACCTCGTGTTTCCAACTTGAAACATATACCATACCTGCTCTATGTACTCACTGGGGTTAAAGTCAAAAACACCCAAGTAGAAGCAAATATTTAACAGTAAACAATCAAGAGCAAATATACATGCGATGACGATATACTATAGGATAACACACACAGATCTTTTCAGAAACACGTTCACATAGAACCATAGATTAACACCAAGTCAATCAAACCACGGTCAACCACATATACAACACATGCATAAATGACCCTAAAAAAAGATCTCACCACACTTATCCTATCCCATTCCGTGTTGCTCACACCTCGAGAACACATCTCCTCTCATCGCCCACCACACTCACTAGACAGATCACTCAACTCATGTCTAACTAGTAAGTTACAATAGATCCTAAATCCACGGGATAATTCTCTATCTCCACATCACTTCTCCCAACCTACGTGGATAATGGGTCTTCACCTAACAGAAGTGATAGAAGTGTCTTTCTCACACTCCACCTGATTAGGGTCTCTTTCCAGATAAAGGATCCTAGACATTTGATCACATCTCCACTCGTGATCCAAATGTCACACTCCATATCCCCGGTACAAACCATCATGTACCTCTAGGCATCTATACTCCACCTTACCAAAAGACACACAACGCACTGCTAATGCATCCTAACCCACTATGCATGCAAGCAATTACACCAAGTAATCCTAATGTCTCAAATTCATGCAAATACACATATTAAACACATTGAAATGTAGCAGATAATCATGCAACAAAATTTAGACAATCACACACATGCAGAAAGGATCACAAATAGATGCATATGCAATGACTAGGTTTACACTTAATAAACCTCACTGGGGTCATAACTCGACCCCTCAACTAAATTCGTCTCACCTCTCATCTTTCCTTTCAGCTTATCTTTCTTCTTAGGACAATCTCTAATAAAGTGTCCAGACTTACCACAACTGTAACACCTTCTACCACTAGACTTGTCTTGTCCCTTGCCCTTCTTCTTACTACCCTCATCACTCGAGTCACTACTCGAATCACTACCGTTTTGAGTTCTACCCAAATTCATCTGCTTAAACTTCATTCTACCCCTCATCATATGTAACTCGCCACTCCTGTTATCCTCTTTTTCAGCCTGAATCTCCATCTCCTTACTCCTAAGTGAGTCTATGACAATCTCCGATGTTAAGGTGTCCCTACCATATTTAATTGCATTCTTA